ATGAATCATACTTTTTTGGTTTTTTGGCTGAGTTCTGAAGAGATGTTTCTTCTCTAGGGGGTACATGGACAACTTTTTCATGCTCTGCATCACTCTCATCAAATGTCAGCCGTTTTCGGCTTGCCACTTCAACTTTTGTTTCTCTATGCTTGCCGACATTGATAATGCGGTCAGGCAATACAATATTTTCACACAACTCGTTCAGTGTGCTACTCTTCCTACTTGGCCCTTCAAATTTTTTTACTTGAATACGTGTAATTTAAATTACCTGAAGAATGATTTTCCAAACTATTGCAGGATCAGCCCTACCTGTAGGTGAGAAATGACCCTTCTTTCAGTAATAGAAACAAACAACAAAGAGAAGAACAAGCCAAAGAAGTCATAAGATTATACCTAGGAGGAATCTTGGAGATGGTGCCTCATTCCATCTCCAAAATCGAATATAAATAGCCCAACGTGCATACTGAAATAATTGGCCGGTGGATTCTTTTGTATGTATGTATGTATGTATATATGTATGTATGTATATATGTATAAACGAAAGTTAAACTAACTTGATGAAAAATCGGAATTTTTTTTGCAAATAATGGGAAGGGGAAAAATGAATTGCAACATTGACTTAAAAAACTGATGAGAACTATTTTAAATCTGAATATAGAAAGTAATGAATCATACTTTTTTGGTTTTTTGGCTGAGTTCTGAAGAGATGTTTCTTCTCTAGGGGGTACATGGACAACTTTTTCATGCTCTGCATCACTCTCATCAAATGTCAGCCGTTTTTGGCTTGTCACTTCAACTTTTGTTTCTCTATCCTTGCCGACATTGATAATGCGCTCAGGCAATACAATATTTTCACACAACCCGTTTAGTGTGCTACTCTTCCTACTTGGCCCTTCAAATTTTTTGACTTGAATACGTGTAATTTAAATTACCTGAAGAATGATTTTCCAAACTATTGCAGGTTCAGCCCTACCTGTAGGTGAGAAATGACCCTTCTTTCTGTAATAGAAACAAACAACAAAGAGAACAAGCCAAAGAAGTCATACGATTATACCTAGGAGGAATCTTGGAGATGGTGCCTCATTCCATCTCCAAAATCGAAGGATCCATAAATACAAGATGAGGAATCAGAAAAAACGTATCAATCATACCGGGAAATCTGCACAATTGATACGCACCGCCAAGAATCTGGAAATCGGGGGTTGATTATGCTAACAATTCGAATCGCCCAAGAATTGTAATCCATTGCTAGGGGACACGCGAAAATTATGCCTATTTCACCGGGAAGGTATGAATGCTGGACAAGAGGAAATCACCGTACAGCTTAAGGTGAACTGGCCATTGTGATATGCAGGAGAATTGGCTTTTGTGATATTCATCGTAATAGAGGAGCAAGAAGAATGTCATTCTCTCATTCACATCCAAAAGGCGTCTGTATAGGACAAAATGGGAAGACATGAGCCTCACAAAATACACAATTAACTAACATAAGAATGTCACTTTGTAGTTAAACTGGAAGCTGAAGAAAAGCGATCGAGATATAAGATTTACAAAAAGAAAACAATGATCAGGTTCAAGCAAAGAGAAACTAAAAGAAGCATGAACAGCTGCACAGAATGAATTATTATTGCTCA